CCCCCCCTCCCACTCCTCTCTTCATCCCATTTCTTTCGGACTGGTGCCCTCCGCGTTGTTGGTGTCTCCGTGTGGCTCCGGTCCCCCGCCGCCCCCTCTGCTCCGCTGCCCCCCGTCGACTGGGAGTGAACAAACAGAAAACGACTGGGCGGGGACCGTCGCGTCGGGGACCATCATCACGGAGACATTATCCCCAAAACTAGCTTTGGAAATTAAAGTCAAGCAGATTTCAAGTAGACGAGGGGTTTGCAACTACTTGTAGCACCAGCTGGATGCCAGTCCACTTTTGAAAGCTATGCACTGGGTGGCTGCTGGTCAGTCTCGTTTCAGCTATACTCGCCTGGTAACCCGCATGCAGGCGTGCGTGCGGGTTGCCTATCGTCGCTCATCGAGGCACCGACCCGCGCCCCGTGCGAGTATGCATCCCGTCCGCACGCCTGCGTACGGTACAGTATAAGCACTTAAAAGAACGGCGCTGATGGGCTACTCTGCATTATATACCGAGTGTTGGTCTTGCCCATACTAGTCACAGGCAGGTCACAGAGGGCTTGGGCGCCTAACGGGCACCCGCTTACACAATTGAAATAATTGTTTGATACCCATACAAGTTTCTGAATGAGCTGAATATGTTGGACAAGATAAAATGAGGGCTGGGGCTGTCAGGCCCATGGATGGATACAAGCGCTCACTCCCCCCTCGTTTCTCCTCGCTTTCGACCCCCTCTCCCCCTCTCCCTTCCCCTCCTCCACCCTACTCACCGTCGTGCACCCCAACTTCCCGTACGGCTAATTCCCCCTGCTCTGCGTTTTAGGTCCCCTTTCGCTCGGCTAATTCGTTTTTTCATTCGTCTCGTCGTGAGGTTGGGGGACGGGAGGGGGTGGGGTAGTTTCGATAATTACGATACGCCTTCTTCTCCGTGCCGACGAGCAGGGGCCGTTGGACGCCACCCCGCCCGCCCAGCAGGAGTGGTCATGATATCGGGTGATATCGCAGGACTAACCTCCCCCGCGATGCACTTCCGGTTTTGACTTCTGCACAGCCGCGCGCGGCAATCGCCATTGGCGGCGTAGGTGTTCCGCGACCTTGATCCCGTTCTATAAAGCCCGCCGCTGTCAGCAGTCAGCTGAGTGGCCAGCTGAGTGGTCAGCTGAGCGTCAGGCGGCGTCAGCATGAGCTTCTCCTGGCGAATGACACGACGCCCCACCATAGTATAATTCTGCGTGCGGAAGACGCGCAAGGCTGAAACTGCAGCCGTTGTACTCCTTGGGGAGGGCCGCATTGGCCTTGATCTAGACCTTCGGTCAGCACGCGCGAGCACGCGCCAAAGCAGCGAAAGCCTGCGCGCCGCGCGAGTTTGGGGCGCGGGGTGCGCGTGATCCGCGGTGCGGGGAAGTGGTAGTGCACATTCAGAAAGACTGTTTCTCAATTCAGCATTCAAAATATTTAAAACTAAATCAAAGCCATTTTACCGTTGAATGATGGAATGATTGAATAAATGTATTAATTCAAATGCCCCGATGCTTCACACGTTGAGTCACAGAGGGGGTATAAATCACGTGCTATTGTGACCATACGTGTGGTCACGTGGGACTCAACGTGTTAACACGTTAAGTTCGTCTGTGCACCCTATGGGGGCTGGAAAAACTAGCAAAGCGTGGCCACCTGCGTGCTAAAATGTCCACCAAAGGATCCTACCTGTTTGGTACCCTTCGGTTTCAAAGTGACTCTCTGCCTGCTGTAACTCCACAAAATTAAGCAATGATGGAAATCTTCAAAACATCGCCACACTAAACGGTGTTTTTCCGGTTGCTCCTGGTTTGCTCCAAAGAGGCTGTTACGGAACGAAACGAAGTGACGGCGCGCGATTGCGTATTTTATATATATTTAACGATTTCCGATTTCCAAATCATATAATAGCATAGGGGAGTAACTATTCTTCGAACAGGTGACTCACCTTCTCCCCCCGATGCTAGCTACTCCCTGCTCCCTTTTGAAAC